AATATTATAAATATTATAAATATTTATAATATTTAAAATATTTATAATATTTTTAAATTTATATAAATTTAATTGCCACGGGATCCCGGGAATGCCAAATATTTACAATATTTATAATATTTATAAATTTGGAGGCCCGAAATTTATAAATACTATAAATATTATAAATATTTATAATAGTTATAAATATAATATTTATAATATTTATAAATTTAATTGCCACGGGATCCCGGGAATGCCAAATATTTATAATATTTATAATATTTATAAATTTGGTTGCCCTAAATTTATTAATATTATAAATAGTATAAATATTTAAAATATTTATAATATTTATAAATTTAATTGCCACGGGATCCCGGGCCTGCCGAATATTTGTAATATTTATAAATTTGGAGGCCCGAAATTTATAAATATTGTAAATATTATAGATATTTATAATATTTAAAATATCTATATTATTTATGATTTAATTGCCACGGGATCCCGGGAATGCCAAATATTGATAATATTTATAATATTTATAAATTTGGAGGCCCGAAATTTTTACATATTTATAATATTTAAAATATTTATAATATTTATAAATTTAATTGCCACGGGCCTTTGCAAATGAAAACTATTTAAACAGTTTTTATATTTATAAATCTATTTAAATATGTTATATATTTATAAATTTGGAGAACCGAAATTTATAAAGAGAAGTGCAAAAACAGTCTTCGACACATAGGGCGTGTTCTTTCCTCTTACGGGCCCCCCCCCTGGATCAAATCCCCCCTGCGCCGGTTCACGCCGTCGTGGACTTCTACCAGGGTTACTTGTGATTGCCTGCTACCTTTCGTTCACCCCCTCCTCTCTCAAGTGTGTTGGACGGTCCGAGGGTCGAAGCAATGGTACCTTTTGCTGCCGCAAGGTTTTGAGGCAGGGGTGGCGAATGGCGACAGGGTATTGGGGCGGGTGACAGGGTAAACTGCAAGAGTGCTCAGCAGTGACATGCAGACGCACCAATTTCTTGCAGACCATTGTTTTCATTGACAGGTGCAGCCGATTGCTCATGCTATTCCATCATGGATGATCTTACGCAGTCGAATTGCCCTTTGCTGTCAGGCCGGGCTTCGTGCAGGACTTTGCAAAAGAACCCACTGAAGAACTGTGGCCAGCCTCTTGTATGGAGCTCAGCAGATGGCTTGATGCTGTCGCCGGCCCTGGAATTCTCAAGGCCACTGGCAGAGGATTCTGCTATTCAAGTTCTCTTCTCCTGACAAGTCTGATGAGGCAGGCAAGCCGTGGTGCGTTGTGCAAGTTGTGCATGTATATTGCATGTATAGCGATATATATATATATATATGTATATATCTTTTTGTGCGAGTTTATCGACTGGTGCTGAATGCAGACAGACCTGCGGATGCTGGTGCAGATTTGTGAGACATGGAATCATCTCAGAGTCTTGGCTTGCGGCTTCAACAATGGCAGATCAATGCCGACAGAAAAACAACATGCAGCTTCACGTATGACTGATGTGCTTTGTATATGTGTTAGATTGTTTATGCAGATCTTTTCGTGATTGCTGGCATTTCTCTGCGAGGCCCAGAAGGCGGGATTCTGACAGCTTCACCCAAGAGCCGTTCGCTGTCACCATGGTGGCGGTCTATTTTGGAACCCTTGACGGAATTGCCGGAGCCAGGCACCTTTGGCAAGAAACATTAGCAACTTTTTTGCGTGTTTATTTGTTTTGTTTGTATATTTGTGTGTGCATACATTGGTCTAAAGTTTTGAACATTGGGGCATCTGTGAGCAAAATCAGTGTTCAATGGTGTTCAATGATTAATGTCATGAGATGTCATGAGTCTCTTCTTGTCAGCACTGCTCCAGGTTATGCGCAATTCGCAGCTGCAGTGGTGCAGCGTGTGATTTGTGATTGGTGGCACGCCCAGGGGCAGAAGGTGGTAGTGGGCTGGAGTCCAATGTGCGGCTGGAGCGAGTGGGAGGAGATCAAGTGGAGTGTTTGGAGTTCATTTGGTATTGGTATGCATATATCTACTATAGTTATATATTAATATATTGGTTGTTTATCGGGGGCTGATCTTCCGAGACATCTACGATTGCTCTCAACATGTGCAATGCTGATGTATGACGTACACGGTAAATATTTGTAAATGCTTGATAGCAACTTCTTGAAAAACCTGAGATATCAACGGTGACGAGTTGCAGGAGGAGGAGTCGTGCGACTGCTCAGCTTTGCACCGCGAGCATTTGCAACAGCTCCTGGCTGCAGAGGCATCGTGGAACATCTTGGAATCATTTGAGACCTTGTCACCTTGTCACAGTGAATCGCATCCACTTGCATTGCGGAATTGGCAAGCCAAAGATATAATCCTGATGCTCATCTCACTGCCATAACTGCAGCTGTGCCTTACTCAACTGGTATAATTCATGTCATCTTCGCAGCGGCCACATCTTCCGACGAGGCGGATGAAGCCAAAGGACCTTTCTTGGAGGGTGGTTTCTATCGAAACCCTAATGTCCACAGCGCGCACCTGGCCAAGCTGGCAGAACGCGGCCACGACATGCCGTGCCTGGGTGGAGTTGAGTGACCCGCTTCATGAGGTCAAAACAGCTGTCAATTCATTGGTTCCACTCACGCCAGGCATGCAGCATTAGGTGGCCAGAGAGTCAGGCCAAAGTCATTACTGTAGGCCCAAGAATCTAGAGGCGCTTCTTGCCATACATAGTTATCAATAGAACATGCTGTGTTACATTATAAGTAAGAGATTAAGTAAGTCCTGAGTAGTGTTCTGAGTATATATCCGTTCCTATTGCCGATCTAGCATCGTAGTCAAATCGCGCTGACACTCAAGTCGGCAAAGCAGATCAAAGCAAAATCCTTCTTGACTTGATTTAAGCCTTCCGTCCTCAGACCTTTGCCCGAACTGGGCCACCCTTTGAGCCGAAAACCGTCAGGTGGGCACGCTTCCTGATTCGCTATCCGACCATCCATCGGCGTGACGCGCAGGTAGCAGCCCAGGTGGGACCATGATATCACGAGCTGGCCGATGGCCCAAGAAAAGGTCTCCCCAGTGACAAGATTTGCTTATGAAGCAATATACTATATGCATCCCAATGGGTGAGGTCATGATTGAATATAATTGGTGCTTCATGACACTGAGACAATGTCAAGGCACCGTCTGCAGTGAACGCAGGTGAAGTTCGGTGAACGCATGAGGACAGCTGCGATGAAGCTGGCGAAGTGGATCAGCGAGCGTGAGGACCTCAACGTGCAGGATCTCTTGGATCTCGCTGGGGAAGTGAGGAGCCACATGCACGGTCACGGTCACAAGGCATGCGGATCACTGCTGGAAGGAAAAGGTGCCAAATTGATCCAAAAGATGACCAACATGCAGAATTGAATAGCAGCACATAGCAGCACAACAAGAAAATACACAAGTTCTGATAGTCTTCAAGATCTTCAAGCCAGTCGGGCGTTAAAACACAAAACAAATTCGTGGAGCACAATGAGGTTCAATGTTCACTTCACATGGTTCACTGTCATTACTCGCTCGAATGACTTGCTGCCGCAGGAGCGATTCCGAGAACCGTGGTGAAGAAGCAAAGATTGGGGTTCGCCGGCTGATAGAGGAGCCCCGTTTGTCCGATTGATTTGTGGTCAACAGATTTATGGCTGCGGTGAATGTGCTAGTTGCTAGAATCCTCCCGAGCTGGAACTTCTGGAGCAGCACAAGTTTGGAACAGTTTCCAGTGACGTGTCCAATCAGTTGAGTGGTCAGCTCTTTGAACCACAGGACACTTCAATTGGCAACTCGGCACCATTTCGCTGGTGAGGAAACTGTAGAAGTCAATGTGGCAAGTTCGCATTCTTCTCCTTGTGACATTGGAGGCATTGTTTTGCAAGTCCATCTTGGACATGCCTTGTATATTGTGCAAAGAAAAGCAAAGAACAATATACAAAGCAGCATCATTCAGCTATGACTGTGGACATTGTCAGGCACCTCTGTGTCACCCATGCGGCGCTATGGGGTCTTCTGGCACAAGAAGAGTCTGCAAGAGCCATGGCCCTCCGCGCGGACCAAGTGGCATGACAGTATGGGTGGATGGCACAAGCTGGGTGTGGAAATGAGGGTGACTACTGACTAGGGTGTACATGTATATATATATACAATAGCACAATATTGTATAAGTATATGTAGTTACTTTATATATTCTACAATGCTACTATGAAGCGTAGGGCATTTATCCAGATGTCTTGACTCGTTGTGCTTTAATGATTTTGTTGCTGCTAGAGTGGGGGACGGACATGGTGCCATGCTCGTGGGACCTCTTCATATTTGTGCATGCACAAGTCAGCCATGCTTGGCACTGCCAGTGGGTGGGTGTTCTCAGTGTACTCACTCCGCGACCCGTTTGAGCTCCAAGCTCCAATATATTTCCGTTGCACATCCATCTCATTCCTTTTCTTTCTTTAGCTGGACCTACCCCACAATGCAAACAACTTTCCTTCCTGCCGCACTCAAGCAACACTTGCATGACAGAGGACAAGGTATGGTACTACAGGGGTCAATTGAAGTGTAGCTCGAACTTGGAAAATGCGGAGTTCCTTGCAGAAATCAACTGTAGGAAGTCATGGGAATGCCATGGAATGCCAGTTTTGCTTTCCTTGCTGCATTTTAAGCGCAACATACTATGAATCTCAATATGTGCCAATATCTTTGCATGATGCCGTTTGTTTTCCAGTTCGAGCCTAATCTTTTTCCGATGGCTGGGTAGCTTCTGAGGATGTGTGCGGCTACAGTGACATCATTGCAGGTGGAGAGTGCGTCATGCAGGAAAACGGGCGGGGCTGATTTTTCAGAAGATAAGTCCATGCAGCGATGCAGCATACGCCAGGCAAAAGTTCCTGAGATCCAGCTTGCATTTGTACCCCTTATCGCTCCAACTATCAAATCACCTGATCTGTTATTTTCATCCAGTGTTGATTTTAGACAAGACTGGAACCGAAGGCATTTGCATGATACATCGTGTGGTGCGACGGCTCGCGAAGCCACTGGCGTAGGTGGCCAATTCGCGAAGGTTGGCAGCAAAAAGTTCCACTTCATATATGTGTGACTTTAGCTTTGTGTGGCGATTTGAATGGCAGTTCACAATGTTTTGGTTGAGTGGTAGGCTGCCAAAATTTGTCAAACATGCATGCACGCGCAGTAATTTCAGAAACGGCAGGATGAGGAGGATGCTATTCAATAATTTAAGGTAGGTAGGGGCCTTGCCTCATCTTCCAGACATCCACGAGCTCTTTCACAGGCTTTTGGTTCGCTAAGCCACGTCGAAAGATAAGCCGTATCTTGAAGCAAGTGTGCAAATCATGTCTCTTTTGCCCTTGAGACTCAAGAGCCTGAACTGTGAGAAAAAGGTGGGGAAGATTCCCTGACACAAGATTCACAAGACAGTTATATAGAGGAAACAAGTTATTACTTACTTATCGAACTCTTTGTTGACCCAAAGCACTTGCTCAGACAAGGAACCGAGCCACTGCTGGTTTTCCACACTCCTGGGGAAAACAGGCACTGCCCCTCCACAGACTGAAAAAGCCAGACAACGAACCGAGAATGTGTGACCATGTGACCCATTTGGTCAGTTCAGCTGTCTTATTTCCACCCATTTGTTCAGTTCATGCTAAAGGCCAAGTTGCCAGAGTTATGATGGAAATCCAACATGTATGTAAGAAATATATACACACGTAATTCTTGTACAGGAGCATCTTGAAGGAGCTGAACATCAGCAACAGCTCTGACCAGAACAACTCCGTCAAAGAGAGGCATTGCCCTGAGTCTCCTGTGTACGTGAACGGCCCGTGCATATTGTGAGATACTTCGAGACTTTTCGTGCACTGGGATGGAAGTGTGATCGGGATGCCAAGTTAGCGCGGAGTGGGCCGTTATTGATCATGCCGTTTCAGTCTATGTGTCCATTCTTGCCAGGCAATCGGGAGTCTACCTTGAAAAGGATTCCTGCATGGTCGTGCTGACACGCACCGTGGCGGTTTCAGCTCTCGATGGCCTCCTCTTGGGCTGGGACCGCTGAACGTGGAGGGTCACAGGAATAGGAATAGATCCGGATGTGTTCCCAGATGTTGGGCGGTGAAATTGCGCTAGGATTGCTACACTTGGTATGGGCAGGAGTCTGCCCCTCACTTTGACAGGACTGATTTTGATGTTTCGCTGTTTTGTGCACTTGCTTTCGAAGACGACCACATGTTTGGAGGCAGACTTGTGTGACTCCCCATGCAAAGCTCCACTTACATGCTCCACTTACATAGTGGTGTAGCGACAACAATCAAAATTGGACATGAGCTATTTGAATATTCTAACTGTTAGCAGGTTACAGTGTTATTAGAAACAAGTGCCACGCTAGTAGTAACAGGTGCCTTACTAGTAGTAACAAGAAGCTATGGGAGTTCAGCAATCGAAAAAGAACTCCAAAAGCCGAAAGGATGTGGGGCGTCATCTTGCACAGCTCCATTCTTGCACAACCCCTCTCCAGCCTGCGCCTGTTCATCAATGAGCGACATCAGATGAAGATAGATGAAGTACTAAGTACTTGCTTCTCATCGCTTTAGACACTGCATCGTCCCTCAGCAGAGGTGCTCATGATCCACCATGCATTGTGGCTGGCAATTTTCCCTCCCTTCGAAAGAGACACCATTCTGGTCAACTGCTTCCCGCGATTGAAAGAAGGCCGGCGAGTGTGTGTATATGTGTCTATAAAATATGCATTGAAAAGGGATACTGGCCGGTGTTGCTGCCAGAATGACTGCGCTGGATTTGTCAGGTGTGCTGCCGGATTTGGAAGCTTTCAGTGTGGACCTGGATGCCTTCACAAAAACGGTGTGACTTCTTTGCAACATTGGTCTTTTGTCATTTGCAGAGTCTGCCTAGATTTTGTGAACGAACATGTGGGAGTCCCAAGTATCGAAAGGAGAGCATCAATATCCCTTCGAGGTGGTGGAGCACCTTCGAAGGTGAGGGTGATTGGCTTAAGTGTTTGATTGAACACTTTGAGCACAAAGGTTTGCAAAAAGGAGTGCTGGCAGTCTGAGCTGAGTTTAGGAATGTCGAAGACTCTCGAGCAACGAATTCGAATTCCTTTGTAGCTCCATGTGGCTCTTAAGTTGCCATTGCCAAAATCTAGAACTTTTGTGTTGGCCGTTGACTGAAGTGTTGCCGCATATGTTTGGAGTGAACTATAGCTAAAGGAGCCTGTTCACCTTCAGACTTGGCAAGATGGGCAACAAATCAGCATGAGGGTCTGTTGGAATGCTAATTGTACACAGAGGACCCACCAGAGCCATTTGTTTGAGCCCAAGCTCCTAGACTCGATGGCATTGTGCACATGGCGCAGCCCGATTCGTTCAACCAGGAGGAGGCCTGCTCCTCCAAAACGTCGAGCTCAGCAGCTCATTGACGCTCATCTCTATGATCCGAATTTTTGGCCGGCCTTGCTCCGGCATCCGCCCACGGCTGATTTCTTGGCAGAGGTGCTGAAAAGCAGAGCCTCCCAAGATGAGGCCTTTGCATCACTGGTGGCTCGAAGCTGCATGTCGCTGACGCCAACAGGTCCGACCTCCACTCCTCAGAAGCGTAGCGCCTCCAGCCTCAAGAGATTCAAAAGCCAAGAGCCACGAGCAGGTGTGGTCCCTCGTTCACTCCTGTCAGCTTTTGAGGAATCTCCAGACATCCCAGCCAAAGCAGCTAAGGTGGTTCCTACATCTCAAGAGGAATGCTTTTTGGAACCTTTGCCTCTCGTGCTGGCTGCTCAGATCGCATCATTTCTGAAGCTGCGCGAGAAATTGCTGGTTGTAGCCAGCAATCGTCAGGCCGGGGCACTAAAGCAACTTGTCAGTGCCTGGGAGCCACTGGTCCTGGATGCAACCGACTGCGCTTACATCCTGCGGCGCCTGCGGAGCATGGATCCTCGTGGCTATTTGGAGCCAAAGTTCTATCCACCACCGATATGCTCAGCCTGGGCGGAAGTCAATGAGGTCAGTGTAGAAATCATGGAGCCAGACAAACCGCCTTGTGAGGGCATGCGACCGCAGTTCCATAGATCATCAGTCATGGCAAGAATGATTTTAGACCCAATCGAGGAATTGGCGCGTCGTCTCTCAGCGGGTTGGTTAGCTGGAGCAGCACACTTGCACCTTTCAAATATCGAAGCAACTCGAATGGATGCCCTTTTCTTGGACTTCCGTCTCAAGGCTTTTCGGAACTTCCCTTCCCTGAAACTGCAGCACGATGGCCTGGATACCAACAGATATTGCTTGCATGCCTCCAAAGCACCATCGCTCCTGCCTAGCATCCAAGATGCACGTGCAATAATGCAAGAGCGATTCCCAAGAAGGCCCGAGTTGCAGCTGTTGCTCCAGTGGCCTGAAGAGATTACAGAACCTGAAGCACTGTTCTTGCAAGAGCACACTCTCATGGTGAAGGCTGGGCATAGCTTTCGCAATTTGGAGCGGCTGTGGCATGTCATCACCGAAGAAGAGGTAAGAGACCAGTATGGCCTTTTGCATGCCGAGCTGAAGAGTGGAAGGCAAGAACCCAGAGAAGCTGGCGTGATAGTAATTGCAGCCTAGAAATTGTGCTAGATTTTGCTCAGTTTCTCTTGCGGCAGATGTTTGGGCAACCTAGCACGTGCGTTGAACTCCCATAGCAGGGAGGGAAGCGGTCGCGCACATAATGATGCTTGTTGAAGCCGACGCCACATAATATTGCAATTGTTTTTTGATGGGTGGGTCGTTTCTGATTTCTGCAGTTATGACGCGCTGCATTGTGCGCTTTCTCATGGTTCGCATTTGCCCGCAGCATTTGCCGCCCCATTTCACTTGGTCGAGCTATCAGCCACGGCCAGAAGCAAAATAACTCCCTAATTGCTCCGGGATGTCAGCAGAAGGCTCGTGTTCGATCCTGAAGCGGACATTCCCACAGCATGCCAACGTTCATCGCCAAATGTGCCAAATGACTCCAGAGAGAAGAAAAGGTATATTATAGTTGCGTTCTCAGATTTGAACGTAGCAGGATTTGCTCGCTTTATTATTTGCTGCAGCCATGTGTGCGTCTTTGTTCTGCACTGTTGGGTGTATTTCCATGATCATGCGTGGCGACACATTGCAAGCTGCGCTCGCCTCAGGTGCCGAATTGGTCTCATAGAATGCACACAAACACGGCAACGAAATGCAACAAGGACATGACAGTCTTCGGCCTTTGGCCTTCAAAAGTGAAATAATACAGTGAGCCTACATGGAAAGAAATCAATTGACTATATATACTGTATATACAATGACTAACACGAGTGACTTGTTTGCTACTGATGCGGCGAAGAATGCAGATAAGAGGCGTCTATATTGCACTCTCTTTGGTGGAGAGAGCATTCCCCTCAAGATGTGATCAACTCAATTTGTTATTTAATTACCTCCGAGATGTGATGTCTACTAGCTTCTTTTTACTACTAGTAAGGCACTTGTTACTAGAAGCGATGCACTTGTTCCTAGTAGCTTAGGTTTAGTTTAGTGGGTGGATGTGTGTGACGTGTTGGTTTAAAGCTGTTCTGATCAGGCTTTCAATCGCCCGGCACGGCTTATTTAGCGTCCAAGCCATGCAATTGTGGGTAGCCTTGCTTAGCGGCGAAAAGGTCAGGGTGCCAATGCCGCGAGAGCTGCTGCATCGGATCCTGGGTTTTGACATGTTATTTTTGCACTATATATGCCCCTCAATCCATCACCTGAAATTCTGCCTGTCACAAAGAGCGATAGATCCCAGTTTGTAGTCGAAGGTACTTTGTGGATCATGAAGGCCAGGCCACATCCGAACCGATTTCTTGTGCCAGGCGGCTCTTGAAGTGTCCACTACCAGCAGCGTCCGTTCTGTAAGAACGCTGGCCCAAACGGCGTTGCGCAGGCAGCGCAGTGAGGGAAAGAGCATGAAAATGGATGAAATAGGCAAGATAGGTAAGAGTCGACCGACATGTTTGTCATCGATTCGGCACTTTGATCACTATACCAAGCAATCGCTAGCCTTTGTCACAGTTGGTCACTCATGCTCGGACAAACGCGCTCCAACCTCGCATCAGAGGGCTGGGCCAGGGACCATCTCGTTTGTTTTTGGTACGTATGGTCTAACCAAGGAAAATGTTCATCCAGCACAAGGTTGCTAGATTGATTCTATCATGTTCTATCAAAGAGTTCCGGAAAGTGAAGTGGTAGGCGGAGGGGAACCGTCGTGCCGCTTGATTTAAAACAACGGAGTCAGTTCAGATATAATATATATATATATATACTGTATTTATATATATATATGGTACCCCCTGCCAAAGATCTACCTTTCTTCATGTGTTTGTAATACCTTTCCGCAACGAGGATATGTGGCTTTGTACAGGGGAGCTCTTGACTTGGTATTTTGCAGACCATCTTCGTCTAGTGGCACTAACTTGCAAAGGAACAACTAGAAAGCCGTGCGCCATCCGCAATTTACATCTGCATGGTCTTGTGGTCATATCTTCTGGCTTTCACAGCAAAAGCTAACAGCTAAAATAACATTTGACGTCTACAAGCATACTGTATATAATCTCACCCTTCCCATCTGAAAATATCACTCAGGCAGGCAGGCAAAGATGATCAATCTTTGGGGGGCAGCACGGACGTTTCTACCTGTGTGTTTCGCTTCGCCATGCACTGCATTGGCAGTATAGTTTGATTCAGTTTTTTTGTATGTAATCATATGAATCATATGGTTTTGTTTCACATATTTCATGTTTCGCAATTTGACCTCGCGTGCTGCCCCTTCGCCGCGACGAGTGCCGGGGTGCCCTCCTTTCTGCAAGTAGAGCGGCAGGTCTAGTAGCCCAGTTGCACCTGTAGGCACGGGCCATCGCTCCGATTGCTGCGCTTTTCTTTCGCCAGGCCATTGTTGGGCTTGGCACGCTCCGATTCTCCAACAGAGGCTCCCAATGGACGTGGAGGACGAAAGCTTGGCCAGTGACAGTTTGCTATAGCACTGTGACCCTGCGCTCAGGTGCCACTGCCAAAAGATTCCACCTTGGATGAGTTGCAGATTCCTGAGGTTCCTGCGCTCAGTAGAAGTGGTCAGATCATGTCAGATCGGGTTCTTGTGCACGGTACTTGCTGGCCAGAACAGCGTGCTCTATGCGCTCGTTGGCCGGCTACGCCGGGTGACACAGTGATTCAATGAGCGCTAGAGCACTTTGTCATCCCCTGGCTGGTTGTACATGACAGGTATTGACAACAATATTGACAAGTTGATACAAGTTCCGTTTTTCCATTCTGTTGCTTCCATAGCCAGTGCAGCCCATTGTTTGACAATTCTGTGTGTTCTTCATTCCTTGATGCGCGTTGTATGGTATTTGCTGTGGTCGATGTTGCGAATGTGACCTCAGGTGTAAAGTCCACACGCTTTGCCTTTGCAGCCTGTCAGGCCTTGGACTTGGTATGTTATGGGTAAAGTGGCTCGTCAAACACAGCACCTTAGGTCCTCATTAGGTTGTGAGTCTACTGCACTTCGCCTTATTCTGCCAGGGGGATGGCTCTGCCGTAGCTTGGGGCTCTCCCTTTGCTGGAGGTGACACCAGTGAGGCCTTGACAGACATTTGCTGCACGCACGTGTGAAAAGCGGCCATCAGTCAACATCTTGGCGGCAGGTGGCCGACCAGCTTGCGGAGGATGTTCAGGACCGCAGAAAAATGACAAGCACATCACGGAAACTGTACAAAGTGTTGTATTATACTGTTTTATGTCTGAATCTGCACCATTTCTTTAAAGCTGGCCCTGCAGTCGATCGAACTGGGACAGCCATACTTGAAACTTAGGATGTTTCTGCGAATCTGATGGCCTTTGCCGCTGTAAAGATTGATGGCAGCGTTGTGACGCCATGTGCCAAGACATTGAGTGGCCTGCCACGGATTCCAGTACACCACAACTCGTCGCCGTGAGGTGGGGTCATCAGTCATGTGGGGGGCAAATCAGCACTGAGCTCAAGGTTGGTGCAAATGATGTGACGTTATTTGGAGGAACAACACGGGAAAGTACGACACAAACGGGAAGACTTGGTCTATATCAGCTTTAGTGTACAGCTTGGTTGATTCCTTATAGGCGCGCCTGAGTGGGAACAATGGAGTCCACATCTCAGCATTTTCATGGCACACCTGCGGCGTGCTCCAAAGAGGGAGTCTACTCTTAAGGTTAGGAAGATTGTTGCCAGCCACCGGGCCTTTGCTGCTTTGAAACGTGACTGGAGCAAGAGTTTGGATATATATATATATCGATATACAATGATATGTTTTTAGTTATTTACAATATATATATATATAGCTCTGGTTCAAGGAGGCTCAAATCGGCTCGCCCTGGGCACTACGCGTGACCCTCGAGAACGTTTTTGAGACCAAAGAAGGCACCTGGCAGTTCTCGCGAGCATGGAACGAGGACATCATCGGAGCTATCAAGTATGTGCTCATGCAGGTTGCCGCAACTGGATCTGGGACGACAGAGTCCGAGAAGGATGTGTCTGCCGCCAATGCGGATCTCCCTGGACAAAGCCACAGCAAGGCTATGCACCCAGGTCTCCGGCCCCGAGATCCAATCCCCGGTGGAGGTTCAACAAAAGTGTCACTCCACCTCCAGGGCTTTGGCACGGCAGTGGCAAGACTGCCAAGATCCAGAAGCAGACTGGGGACTTGCTTTTGTCCTCATGACACTGCAAGGAAAACTCAAGGAGCTTGGCATCTCTCCCCCTCAGGAAGCCGCCGAACCGGACTTGGAAGCTGTCCTGAAGGACAATCTTTCACAACTTCCGGCACCGGTCAAAGAACTCGTGGAGAAGATCACCAAGCCGCAACCACCCACCGAAAAGGATGTGGCCATCAAGCTCAAACAGCAAGTCTCCACCTTGAGAGACCTGTCAAACAGGAAGCAGACCTTGCAGACGAAGATTGATGCCACAAAAAAGGCTTTCCAAGACCTCCTTGAAGAGATGAAGACCATCCAGAGCAAGATCGAACAAGAGCAGGCTGAGTTGAACACTACAGCACGGCGTACATGTCCTTGGTCAGTAAACAACCTGATCCTGTACAGCTGTCAGAAGATGCTGACATGAAAGACCCGGTACCAGAAGCTGTAGCGGGGTTCATCAGCACCTTGGGAGTGAACCTCACCCAGGCACAGCATGATCAGCTGAAAACCATGCTGAAGCGTCCGCCGGCCACCAATGAGGAAGACCCCAAACGCAGGAAGACGGCAGACGAAGAGAAGGACCAGTCGTGTGGGTAACGGATCACCCATGGCTTTGAAGCTTGCTCTTTCCTCAATTGAAACCAACGGGGTTATTCCATGCCCAGACATGGACAAGGGGAACTCACAGACTTTTGAGAAGGCTGTGCAGCACTTTGATTTTGACTCTTTTGCTTTTTCAGGCTCAAGCTGCTCGGACCCGCTCCACCTTGGGGTTTATGGACCTGTCCGCAACTTGCAGCCGCCCAAAACTACGAGGGGGCAGTCAGCCTTCTCACGCTGCCGCGGTGAGTCAGGCTTGGAGTGGGGCACCGAGCTGTTCTACCTCAGTGCAAGCTCTTCGGAGCATTGCATCCCACGGGACCCTGCCTCCTGAGACCTTGGCTCGCCTCTGGCAGTTGATGATGGATGTGGATGAAACAGCACCCCCTGCGCTCTACTTGACCCCTGGTCAACAGGGCCTATTTCAAGTGTGTCACAAGGAGCTCCAGCAATCTTGTGACCATCCCTGCACACAGGCCAACAACTGCTGGTGGATCTCAAGCGTATGCAAGCAGTGCTTCTGAAGCAAATGGCTTTACCGGGGGAGATGGAACCCACGACGGGCAATCCTTATGTCCTGTCCCAGGGACTGACTAGCATTCTCAGCAATCCCCACAACTTGTGTTTCGGTAATGCTGCCTTTCGATGCTGGTGCTGGGCAGGGGCTTTTACAGATGAGCTCACTTTGGCCTGGGGCTCCACACACTCAGCTGCCAGGCACTTTCTCTCCAGCAATGAACCTCAGATCCTGACGGAACTGGAAGGCCTCTCTCATGTTTGGAGGCACTTTGAACCGGGCCACCAAGATGCAGACTGTCCAATGAGTCCTGTCCTGCCTCCCTGGTGCCTCGCAAGCTGCCAAATGGTTCTTTCCTGCCTCCCTGGTGCCTCCACTGGACACTTATGGGAGTATTCAGGTTCCAAGTTCTTTGGTGGCCGCTTCTTTCACGTGCATGCAAATGGCCGATTGGAGGAGAGGGAACAGGTCCCGCTCAACCTCCTCTTCCCACCGGACATGCAGCAGCCCAGTCTCGAAGACCTCATCAATCTCTGGTCCAATGAAGACCAGGGGCAGTACTTGTACGGGACGCCTGAGGCCCTCATTCTTCACATTCAGAGATTCCAGCAGGTGGAAGGATCATGGACCAAAAATGAGCAACCTGTTGACATTCCCATCACTGAAGATGGCATCCATGTCCACATGGCCACCTACAAGGTCATCAGCCTCATCCTGCACCAAGGACAAGCATGAGAACGGTCAGCCGGTTTGCGGATGATGACCAATACCCAGTTCCACTACCGCAGCTCCAAAAGCACCATCTGGCACAAGTTGTTCAGGTCTGGTTGATCTTGGAGCCACCGGACGAGTTGCAGCCGGACGCATTGGATGCTTGGGAACCGGTCCTCAAGAAGCCCAGGAAACAGTATGAGACCCTCCACTTGTTCTTTGGCAACGTTACCAACTTTGGTCACAAAGTTCAGGACTGGGTCTGGACCAAACCTGATCATCTCCTCTTCTTGCAGGAGACTCACCTTGGAGCAAAAGCAATGGAAGGGGCCTTACTTCAGTACAAGAGGATGGAAGGCCTACGGAGTTGAGGCCACAGGCAATGGAGGGACCACAGGAGGTTTTCTCACACTCCATGGACAACGACATCTGACTCATCATGTTCAGACCTACACAAAGGAAGGCAATGGATGGACGGCGCTTGGCCTCCAGCGAGAAGGAACCTTCATCCTTCTCATCCAGGTCTACTTGCGCACAGGGGAAACTTTGCAGTCCCCTCAGAATGCGGATTTGCTCTCCAAGTTGCTCAACTTGCTGGACCACACTCATGCGCCCTTCATCATTGGAGGTGATTGGCAGAATTCACCGGAATCCATGGCGGCCACGGTGATCCTAAGCAAATTCAATTGCCAGATCCTGGACACTCAACAGGCCACTACACTGCATGGGTCCCAGCTTGACTATTTGTTGGTCTCCAATGCCCTTCTCAGCTCGGTACAGCTCACTGCTGCTGATTGGGAGGTGCCTGGAAACCGCACTGTGGGCTTGCTATCACCTTGAGTTGTGAGTCTCCTGATGTTGAAGTCCAGCAGCTCCAACGGTTTCCGCCCATAGGCAAAGTGCACTCCTTGCCTCAGTGCTGGACCTCCTTCCAAGAAGCGGATGGACCCTTCTCTATTGCTGGCATTCCCATCACCGGCTTGGGCTCTGATCTAGCTAGATGGGCAAGTCAAACCGAGCAGTACTTGACCCAGCTGCTGCACAATCCAACGCAAGGTCGAGGACATCAAATCCTGATGAGGTCTGCACCTTTGGTCGATCATATCCGGCCGCAAGTCTGGAAGAGGTGCCAATTAGCTTACTGGGATGGCGGTGCGGGTCAACATCTTGCACCAAACACATCACAAGAAGGTGGCTCACGATCTACTCACCATGCTCCAAGCTTTGCCGCAGCAGGCCACTGATGATCTGGAACAGGACCTGTTTGCCACCCTGTTGGACACTTGGGTCAAGCAGCCTCAAAATGACCCGACCGAATTGAAGAGGATCATCCAGCAACAGGAACAACAGGCACTATGACGTCCTTCGTGACCTCGGAGTGGACGCAACCGGCAGCAGAAGGAGAAGGGTGACGTGATGCAAGTCAAGAAACGCTTCACCAAGGGCAGTGCACGCACCCGGATTCTACATCGTCTTCGTTTGGCGCCCACCACCAGGTATCGGCTCCACCGAGGGCATCCACCCGGTGATGACGTGGGGCGCTCAAGCCAATGGATTACCTCCTCAGAGACGGCGAAAATTGAGAGTCCTCGCAGCTCGAGGTCTCCGGCTCCAGAGAAGTGGCTCTGTTGATGTGGTGTTCGACATGCACCCTAAGCTCCCGGACCCGGCTGACTCCATCATTTGCCAACATCTCCACACCGTGTGGAAGATCTACCATGCCTTTCCAGAGAGTGCGCAACATCTCTTCTGGTCCAGCTGGATTATTGCCTTGGGAGCCCTTCTCAAGGTCCGCTACAGATGGCAGGTCGTTTCTGGACCATTGCAGGCCTTGCAAGCCTATTTGCTCGACTATGAGTTCGACATCCATGATGGCAAGCAATGGAAGCGCACTGGCTACGGTGGAATACCAGACTGTGTCCTTTCCCTTGAGGATTGCTGGCCGGTTCTGCTCCAGAAGCTCACTGAGGAATTCAAGTGGCAGCGTTTGCTCCGTTTGACCAGGTATGAGGGCTGCCACGGCCTCGAAAGGCCGTTGGATTGGGCTGTCAGTTGGAGACTCCAAAAGACCACAAGCGAGCGAACAGCCACAGCTCTTCGAACCTTCCACCAGGGCACGTTGCATGGTCAGCAAGGTACCTGTCCGCTGTGCGCCAAAGATCTCACCTTTGTGCACTTGGTGTGGGAGTGCCAGTACTGGAAAGGTCGAGTCAAAGATCTACCCGAGCAATGGAAAGAACGTCTGGCAGCTGGCACAGAACCCGAACTCTGGAACAGAGGCATGGTCCAATCCATCTTCTACCAAGTTGAGACTGGCATGGGCTCCTTCGAAGGCACTGGCTACTGGCACACGCAGGAGACTCTCGCCTTCGGCACGGGCCATGCATTCACCATTGCCTTGGCGCCCACATGCCAAGATGTTCGGCGCAAGCGTTTTTGCTTTGCCATTGCTGTTCACCGCATAGCTGACAGACAGATGGTGGCCTCATTGACAGGGGTCTGTCCGGGCAAAGTCTCCAAGCACAGAGGACTTTTCTATGCCTTGAAACATCTGGCCCTTCATGTCAAAGAGAAGACCCAGGTCGCCATCTATGATCATCAAGTGTGGAAGCATTGGACACCACGTCAGGCCTATGAAAACTACCCGGACCTCTTCACTGGCCTTGATTGCGAGGACTTTGAAATGGTTCGACCGTTGCTGTTCGCCCGAAAGGAGCTCAAAGAGAACCCTCTCCGGCGATTCTTGCACCACGAGACCACCAAGGTGGCCAAGGCAGCTGCTGCCCGGCATACGCCCGCGGCCATCCTAGATCTCCAGGCTAACATCGATGAAGATGCAGAAGCCATTCTTTTGGCTGCGGCAGGCAGAATTGAACACCTGCTCACTGACAAGTCCCACTATTTCCACAAGGGTGGAGGCCAGGACTCTTCCAAGGTACCACTCATCCAGCAGAAGAAGGAGCTCCTCAAGGAACTGCTCTCCAAGCCCAACCAAGGAGGCCACAGCTGGATCCCGTTCCGCACGGGGACGTCTTGTCAGCACTGCAAGACCCGCCTTCATTCCAAGAGTCTCATTCAGGAGCTGCGTGACGCACTGGGGACTGAATGTGTTGCAAGGCCGACTCAGGCCGTCAAGCGCAAGACGCGCATGGAGGTCATAGAGGACATGATCCAAGCACAAACTGAGGAGGTTCCAGGACAGCACGCCATCGTCTTGGACCGTGCCTACGTTCGTTGTCGCAAGTGTAAAGGATATGTTCTGGCTAGAACCTCCCAGGAGAACTTTGAGCAATGGCTCAACGAGCCATGTGTTGTCGGACCCATTCCGGATGACCAGTGCCACGGGCACCCATCTCACAGGATGGAACGGTGCGGCTCCAAAGCTTTCTGCACCAGATGCCATGCTCGCACGAAAATGAAGGGCAACGAGCCGGAGATCACCGAGAAGCTCCGCCAGAGATGCCAATTGGCATCTAGTTCACAGGATCTAAGATCCTTCTTCAGCTAGCACGCAATAGCACATCAGAAAAGGCGCGCCCAAAAAAAAAAAAGGATTCGGTGTTCTTTTCATGAAGACTCATATCGACGCCCCAATGGAGTTTATGGAAGAGGCCTTGATTCTCACATTCTTTCATGTTCTTGGAGTTCTTTCCAATGGACTCCATCAATTCCAGACCTTTCTGGATGCCAGTTGTCGTTGGTTTCCGTGACTTTTGCACGCAAATGGCGGGTCGCAGTACGGTACTGTACGGCAGAACAGCCGCGACAAAAGTCAACACTCTGGGAGCCGACTGAGCATTTGTTGTGTTTCGGCAATTCTTGGATACAGTTTGCTTCATACCTCATATTCCATTCGCCAGATATTGTGCGCGATGACCAGTTTTTGGACAACTATCGCCAGGCGATGGAAGCGTGGTGTGCTGGGGCTGTCACTTCCACGGGGCGCCTCGATCGCATGGACTTGGCTTGTCGGGTCTTGGATGTGTGCCACGCTGAGGGGCAAACACCCAGTCTTTGCTGCAAAGATCTCAGCGCGGGGCTGAGACCACTGGGCGAAACTCCAGACATAGACTCTCAGGTTTCATCTCTTTCGAGACGGTTGTGTCAATGTCCACTTGCTCAAGTCAAGACGTTCTAATATAGTGGATGCTGCAACCAACCGCGCATCAAGAAAGTGGGGAGATAGCACTTCTGTGTTTTGATGGAGCAGATTTCCTCCTCCAGCTTGTGCGATGTGGGGTCGCATGCCCACACCATAGATGTGTGTTAACTACAGTGCTTCTGCTTCGGGACACGAGGAAAGCCATTGGGATCAAAACCTATCAAAACCATTTTTACGTGCACGTATATGGGGCCCGCTGAGTGGCCCGCTGCGCAAACGACATTGACAAGTAGTATATATTAACCATTGACCCAATGCCCTCGAAAGACGGCAGAAGGCGCACCAGTGTTGTTTTTCTATGTTTTAATGGTTTTCTTGCAAGCTGCAAGTTTGGTGCGCAAGTCAAGCATCCGCATGCCCATCCCACCCTTACAAGTGCCAATTTGTTCCGTGTCAATTGTTCTTCTGAGTGAATTCAGGGTTCTTTTCGAAAGGAAAGGAAATGAAATGAAAGGAAAGGAAAGGACGGCCGTGGGACTGATTTTTTCGCAGCAGAGCCAGAGAGTTGAGCTGTCAACTGAACTCAACTAAACTCAACACAACCTTGTTCGACAATTCCGAGGATATAGTAAAACCATGTAGACTGTAGAACCCTTTATGATTGGGGTTCCATGGTTTTCTGTCAGTCCAGATGCAACACCTTTAAACGTCAAAAGCAGCGGGTAGTTGATTCCAGCTGAGGCAATATATTTTCCACGACTGGTGCCTTTGCAGCTGCAGGGGCCTCAGGAAGTTCATATCGCACCTCTCATGGTCTAATGGGGATTGTTTGGGTGCGGGGCCTTTAGCCAATAGAACTATATAGTTATATAACTATATAGATCGACGTCAAGATTTCCCGTATAGAATGGGTGGCCTCAAGGCCCTTATAACAGTGTTTTTTGTTTTATAGGAAATGACTCACGTTTAGGCCAAGCATTTTGTAAGAGCCCAAAAACTGACGTTTAGGCCCCTAACTTTGTAAGAAACATCGGGTGATGTCAACGTTGTAGCCATCCATTTGTAACAGATACATAGTCAAAGGGGTGAGTGTTGCACGAAGATGTTGAGGTGGACAGCAAGGGTGCCGTAGTCACATGGGGGCATGCAGGCTCGACGCTGTACTTTACACAATATATCATCATATCCATGCTGCAAGAGCCACAAGACGTGAATCCGCCTTGGCAGCTTCCGGTGGCGACAGCACACCCGTGGCTGATCAACTGCAGGTGCCTAATTATGCGCAGATGTTGGCACAGAGACCGAGAAGAAGAAACGATTAGAACAACATTTGAGTGGTTGAGACAGGAATTTGTTATAATTTGTTAATGTATATACAGTACTCGTAGTTGGCAAAGACAAGGGCGATTGAAACTCTTCAAGCTACGCAACTGCCAGGAGGGCATTACCCAAGTGTGCCCCGCCCTGCGCTGGCCGTTTTTGGTTGCTGTTTTTCATTTTTCCTAAGGGTTTTGCTTGTGCAACTGGTAGCTTTGAGGTGCTCCAACAACTCTGCATTCGCCGCTCTGCGCCGAGATGGTGCGGTTGGGCGCCAAGAACCAGCAACTAAAACAGACCAATGACATCGATCCCAGCAGTTCGAAGGTCGTGGCATGGGGAGCGCCACATGCCGGCGGCCAGCCGGACCTGGAAGCTCTAAACAGTGGAGTCATCAAGGCTCTTCCTGCACTTGGCTCCATGTGGCCACTTGTTTTGCCATGTGCATCCAAACCATGAAACATGTCAATATTCCACCATCTAGTTACAAAATCCTGCCAAATGTAGACTTGTCGAGATGTGTTCGTTCTATGTAAGGTCAGATGCGAAAACCACGTCAAAACATGTTTCGATGTTCATTCTTAGTGGGAGACTGAACTTTTGCCACGGCAGGTCTTCTCGACGGACGCCGCCTTTGCGGTGCTTCGAGCTGGCGGTGAAGTCGTGTGCTGGGGCGATGCTTTGTTCGGAGGATGCAAGCAGGCAAGGAAAGAAGAAAAGAAGTAAGTGTAGAATGATGTACTGTGAAAACGAAGGTGAAACCAGGAACATGTCATGCACTGACCCGGATTGCTCATGGACCTGACCAGCTTGATGGAGACTGAAACTCGACTTTCGCTCTCGCGATGGCTCAAGAAAAGAGCGCTATGATGTTTGCTACCAGTGCTGGATTCATTTCCACACTGGTAGCGGAGCTACCAAGGCTCCCAGGGACCCCGGTCCCGACCCTTTTCGTCACGGCCCTAGCGGCCACGGTTTGCGCGCTGTGCTCACCCATGGCGCTTCTCGACACCTTCAGGTATGTCAACTTCATCAAGGAGGAGGAGACGCAGAACAGCACCGAGGGCAAGAATGCTGGTGGCATCCCACGCTTCAATGGAGAAGCGACCAGGTTAGGTGAATACACCTGGCGGGTTCGTGCCCGCATGGCACGAGAGGCTGAGATGGATCCCGGCGAGGTGAAGAAACAAGGACCACTAGGTCTCCGCCTAGTGGAGCAGCTCTCAGGCCCCGCACTACGTGTCGCCCAGCAGATGCCCCACTCTGTTCTCGCCAGCAAGGAGGGCGCGGAAAAGCTGCTCGATGCCCTGGCTACTTCATTGAAGCCAAGGAGGGCACAAGAGGCACGCGAGCTCTACGCGGCCGGCGCCCGTGAGGGCGGCATCCTTAGCCGCCAGGCTACCGAGCCTATGTCGACCTACTTGGTCCGTCGACAGGCCTGGTACCAGGTTTTTACTGACCTGGACAAGGAGCTGAAGTTGCCGGAAGTGATCTTGGCTGAACAAGCTCTGGTCAATGCAGGCCTGACTGACCAACAGGTCCTACTGATCAGATCAGCTTTGGGTGGAAAGATCACCATGGCCGGCATCCAGTCCGAGCTCATCGCCCAGCACTCTCGATTGCACGAACGAGAACATCGAGGGCGCAGCATTGGCTTTGAGCGGCCAAAAGGCTCAGGTTGGCGTCATCGAGGAAAAGGAGGTGGACATGGAATGGGCTACTTCTCTGAAGAGTACCCAGCCGAGGAGTATGAGCACGACCCGTATGACGACCTCAACGCCTACCAGTCCGAGCAACCACAGTACGCCTATGAGGAGAACTACGACTGGCAGGACAACGACCTCGGCGAGGAGATGGATGAAGGGACACTTTTGTCCATGTTGGCCGATCAAGGACTTGATCTGAACGATGAGGAAGCCATGGAATATGCGGCCGACATCATCCAGGCGGAACAGGAAGCCTACTTTGCGCGTGAACGTGCCAAGGAGAAGGGCATCAAGGGCTTCCACAACAAAGGAAAAGGAAAATCCTCTGGTTCCAGCGGCCGAGCATTTGATGTCTCAGGACAGTTGACACTCCAGGAACGGCAACAGAAGATTCAGAACCTGAAGTCTCGCACCACTTGTCGACGATGCGGACAGGTGGGACATTGGAGTGGAGATGCTAGCTGCCCGAAAAGCAAAGGAAAAGGCAAATCGCCTAAAGGTTCTGGAAAGGGCAAAGGATCTGGAGATGCGAAGCCTCGCACGGTGTTCTTCGCCGTTCGGGAGAATGAGACCGCTGAGGAGCAAACCGCTCTTATGGCCTATCGCAGACCCTTCAACATCTTTGGAGCAGTACCGCCTCCCACGGAGTTGCAGCAGGGCGAGATTGTGAGTTCGCCTGAAGAGGAGGACAAATGGTCTTTGGTTGCATCATCCCACGTACGAGAAGGACAATCAGTGTCACAGGAGGACCTCGACATGATGATGCTGGTTTCTGCTTTGGGAGTATCTGAATATCGAGAAGACCGAGGAGAAGTTCTGTCCATTGAAGGCCCAACTTCCTCGACTACCCCATCGGAACCACCTGCTGAAGTTCAAGCACGTGCAGCACGACCACAAGAACCCGATCCTCGACCATCACAGGTCTCGCCAGCATCGGCGCAGACTAAGCCGACGAACAAGAAGCCTGCCTGCCTCCACTACAACGTGACCGGACAAGGATCCAACGCTTTCTACAAGATCAAGAAGTGCAAGGACTGTGGCACTATCTTGGAGCGCACCCCTGTGGGATCAGCTGATTCCCGGTCTATGAACTCGGAGACATCCTCTGCACCAGGATGCAACCATCATCGAGTGAGTTGGCATGGCACCATTCGCTGGAAGCGCACATGTCTTCAATGTGGAGAAGTCCGCAGCGGCCCTGTGAATGGAGGAAAGAGTTCCGGCAAGGGATCGTCACCGTTAACGGCCTCCAATGAGACCTCTTCGACGACCCGGCCGACAACCTCAAGCCGGAAGATGACTTCCGAGGAGATTCTTCGTGTTCGTGGACTCTTCAACCACTCCCTGGACCTCAAGTCAGAAGGACAAGGAGAAGGATTCACTCTCACCGATCACGAATTGGCTGACCTTCTCCTGATGTGTGAGAACATCGTCCTCGGCCGACCAGCGCATGAAGGTCAGGACTACACTCCTACGGAACCGGCAGGCTCAGGAACTCAGACTCCGTCATTGCCTACCAGGACACCTACATCACAGGCCATCTGGACCGATCCGCCTACACCGGACCCATCCACTCCGCCAGCACATGCTCATTCACTACAGCAAGAAGGCCGTCGCACCATTAGCTTTGGCCTCTACAAAGGACAAACCCAGTATGAAGCTTGGAATGACCAAGGGTATGTCCGCTGGCTTTTGGACGAAGTCAAAACCGGAAAACCTTCCAAGGCTATGATCCGTCTGGCCCAGTACTTCCAGGACATGCAGGCTGGAGGACGTGATCGCTATGGAGCTGCCATCCCAGAGACGACTCACTATGGCCACATGGCACAACATCACCAAGAATGTGGCAGCGAAGACAACTTGGTGGCCATCCTGGACACTGGCTGCAATGCCACATGTCACGGAAGTGAATGGTTGAAACAATACCTCAAGGCCACCGGAGCACCTGAACCTCCACTACAGCCATGCTCTGGACCTGGCATGAAGGGAATTGGCGGCCAGATGAAGCTGATAGGAAAACGTGAGTTCGAAGTGAGCTTCGAGATGAAGAATGGAGATTTTGCCCGAGGAACTTTGGTATCCTTGGAGATTGCCTCTTCCGACGCACCGCTCTTGCTCAGCGTGGAGAGCCAGAAGCAGCTTGGCTTTGTGATCGACCTCAACCACCAGAATGTACACTCCACCGTACTTGGCAGTGATCTTTGCTTGGTGGCCCGCAATGGACTTCTGGCAATCCGGCTCATTCCCGGATATCTTGGTCTGGTGGCCGAGCACTTCGAGGACACCGAGAACTTTGAGAAGGAGCACAACATGACCTATGAGCAAGAGGAACCGCCACCAGAGGAAGACATCCAGCTGGTCAATGAGACCCACATGGCCGTGGATGAGATGCATCAGCACAAGCGCGTCTTCACCAAGGGCCAGAAGAAGCAGTTCAAGAAGGATGTGCAAGACGTGAAGGAGAGGGACCAGCACATGTGGGGATTGCTACGATCCTCACACAAGAGCGTAAGACCTCGTCTGATGCCTCGAGGCTGCCGCACGCTGCTACTGGAGATCTTTGCCGGAGCAGCCATCCTGTCTCACATGGCTTCCGAGATGGGATACCCTGTTTCACAGCCCGTCGACATTTTGTATGACGGCACCGACCTGCGGAAAAAGGAACACCGGGACATGATCGACCAGCAGATCGAGAAGGACGACCCGTACCTCATCTCCATGTCACCGCTCTGTGGCCCCTGGTGCCAGTGGCAAGAGCTCAATATGAGCAAGTCTGAGGAGACTGCGAACAAGATCATGGAGCAGAGGAAGGAATGGTACCCGGTGGTAAAGTGGATCTCGCAGGTGATACGAAGCCGAGTGGCAAAAGGGCGGCAAGTGTTGCTGGAGCAACCATGGCTGTCAAAGATGTGGGACTCGCTTGCTCTTCTTCGAGTTCTACAGGACCACATCACCGACCCTATGACGGGCGAGATCGTGGAGGTGATCAAATGTGACCAATGTGCTTACGGTCTTAAGGACCGAGATAATCACGAAAGCTAGCACCAGCTAGCTGGAGTTGTCCTTGCTTTAGCAAGTGAGGGGCTGGAATCCTCGGGATCGCCGCATCACGTGAAAACTTCATATGTAGGGGGGGGGCCCCCCCGCCCCCCCCCCGTGGGTTCAACTCCCCTTTCGGACGCCTCTGGGACACCTCTCGGGCATCTCTTATGGCATCCATTGGCATCCACTTTGGCTTAACTCCTCCGGGATACGGTGCAACAGATTCAACAAGCTCACATGTTCATGACATCGACATCGATAGAAGAAACCAAACAAATCATGCAAGCAGCTTTGTTTTGCCTCTGGGACACCTCTTGGGCACCTCTTATGGCATCACTTTTTCAACTCCTCCGTGGAGGTTTTGGGATACGGTGCAACAGATTCAACAAGCTCACAGGTTCGTGAACACATCGGATGCATCGAACAGTGTGGCAAAGTCCAGCCACGCTTCCTTAATTGTCGGGGACTTCAATTCGAAGGTTGGCTGTGTCATTGCTGTTTGTGCGTCTTACATGTTCACAACGTTTTACCTCATGAGCATTTGCCTCACTCCGCTTGATGTCCCACCAGTCCGGATGCACCCCTGCTAGCTTTCGTCACCTACCCTCGGCCTCAAGTGGTATGCCCAACAAGAAGCCTACTGACCTACTGGACTGATGACCGCCAGTTTGGGCATCAAGCAGAACATGTCACAACTATGCCCGGGAGATCACCAACGCCAAGCTCTCGAGGGATCAAACCGCACAAAACGAGCCCAAGAATGGCCACGTCCCTTTTGTGAAGGAATCCTGCAAGGGATTCTTTGTGATCTTGAAGGTACCATCACCAAGGTGGCATTTCCAGCTGAAGCTGTCATGGAGGACAACCCCTTGGGCACCTTGGACAAGATCTACGATGAGCAGGACCTGGCACCAAATCCTCCGCTACCACACCGAGCTGAAGAAGATGATTTGAGAGGCGAAGAAGATCGTGAAGGAG